TTGTCATGTGAATAAATGTTTAAATAATAGTTTACATATAACATTTGACGCCATAAAAAAAAGATCTGCAGTAGGAAGATTTAGCTCTTACATAATGCACAGAAATTTTGACAAAGAATCAAATATTGATGATGGAATTTGAAATTCGAGAAGGTTAATCTTATTACTGGTCAATAGGGTTTATCCGTTAACTGGCAAATCAACCCCAAGCAGTTCCCAATAAAAACTCATTAAGCATAAACTATGACTCATCGTTCCATTTCGATAGAGTTCAACAAGGCTCAACCTTGTTTACTATTCAAACCTTTTTATAGATCTGTTTTATTTTTAGCAACAGTCCTTGACCATAAAAATTCAATTCAATATGATTTTGTTTATTCACCAAAATTGAAAAGGGTTGTTCGTGTTTTGAATTAATAGAAACATCAATTTATTATTATGAGCGGATATGCATCAAAATGTCAATAGAAATCTTACTTAAAGATATCTTATTACACAATCGATTTCCGTTTTATTATTAGATATTTATGATTTATAACCAATGATATTTATCATTATGCAATACCCATGTATTGTAAATGATGAGCAGAGGCGCGTTGGGCGGGTATACTGCCTACCTTGCCATGCCCTACTTCTTGAAAGAGTGCCATTGTATTTCGAAAGAATTACCTCAAATACTCAAGGATATGTCTGCATTAATGTCATCATATTCCCATTGCTCTAATGACAATATTGAGCCCTCTCTCCCTCCTGCCCTTCCCTTGTTCAAACCAGATTCAGCGAAACTAAAAACATTTGCGCTTAATGTACTTACATGCACCATCATATTTGCATTGCTTAGTAATAATATTGTGCCCTCTCTTCCTGCTGCAGTTTCTTTGATACTAAAAGATCTATCGCGTTCAATGTACGTACATGTACCATCGATCAGTCCTCGCTGCTGTTTGGCTATCAGCCTCTATGGGTCAGGCAACGTTGCAGTTGATCAACTGATTATGGCGGTATCCATTTTCTCTGGTTTTGGTTTGGATTTTTGAAAGGTTCGTAGTGTTGGGGGTTGGCAAAAATTTCTGGAGAAAAGGTCGCAGGCTGTTTCTTTTATTCGCCCAAATTTCAGTGTGGGCATATTATGTAGTCACCCTGTCTATTGGTCCGTCTGTCAACAGTTTTTGACAGATTGTCTTTATATTTGGTGTGAAGCATTGTGGTCATGAGAGGACGAACCCTAATGACTCAAAGTTTCGTACCTTTCGTACCAGAGTTTTGCCCCCCTTTGCCGAAAACCTTGTGAACATGATAGAGACTATAGTTTTTATACGCCTACATTGAATTATGTTGTATATTGCTGTCACCCCTGTCTGTCGACCTTACATCCACAATTGCTTGTGGACGCTCTATAGGCTGAAGTTAATATCCAATTGACTTTAAATGTATACACAGTATTACCGGTCATGAGACGAAAAAGCCTATTGATTTTCAACGGTTTTCTATAATTACTGCCAGAGTTATGACCCTTGATCACTTTGAAAAATCATGTGGATGCTCTAGAGGCTGAAGTTAATATCCAGTTGACTAAATTTATACACAATGCTTATGGTCATGAGATGAGTTATGGCCCTTGATCACTTGAGAAATTTTGTAGATGTGCTAGAGGGTAAAGGTAATATAAATTTATATACAGTGTTTAAGCTCATGAGATAAACAATCAAAACAATTCCTAATGATTTCTGATAATGGGTTGTTACTCGTAATCAGATTTTATTGTGTTGTAAATGTTTTCTTTACTTACAAAGGAAAAAATAAGTGACAATCCTGGCAACCTACTTTTAACAGATTGTTTTAAAATTTGGTGGGGATCATATAGGTCATGAGAAAATGAACCCTATCGATTTTCAGCATTCTCTGTCTTTCTGTTTCAGAGTTATCCCCCTTTTGTCGAAAATCTTGTGAATGAACAGTTTTCACTGGAATCTTCAAATTTGGTGTGAAGCATTGTGGCCATGAAAGGGCAAACCCTATCGATATTCAGCTTTCTATGACTTTCTGTTCTGGGTTATCCCCTTTGCTGAAAACCTTGTGTACGCTATAGTGTCTTCAATTTTTAACAAGATTTATTTGTACGCATTGGGGTTGTGAGAGAATGAACCCTATCATTTTCAGTTTTCAATCCCCCCTTTGCTGAAAAACCTTGTGAATTTGGTATACGCCCATATTTTCATGTGGATGTATCTTGTCGTCGCCCCTGTCCGTCCACAGTTTGTTTGTGGACACTCTACAGGTCACAATTCTTATCCGATTTTGAGGAAATTTTAAAAATAGGTTTATCTCCAAAAGATCTTGGTTCCTTTCGATATTGGCATGTATCGGATCGAAACTTCATGGATTATTGGATATGGCCCTTGATTGTACGAAAAATCACGTTTTTAGCTTGTGGACACTCTAGAGTTCACAATTTTTATCTGATATAAAAAAGCGATTGAATATATTACTGTTACACCCTAATGATGATAGAGTTCGAATTTCGTGAAAATCGTACCAAAACTGCCGGACAAAATGGCTGCCCCTCGTACGCAAACAGTGTAAAAATAAGGTATATCAAGGTTTTGGACCCTCTAGAGGTCACAATTTTTTTCAGATTTTAATGAAACTTGAAAAACATGTTTATAACCAACAGCATCTTGGTTCCTATCGATATTCGCACATATCAGATCGTAACTTCCTGAATTATGGCCCCAGATTGTGCGAAATATTGCATTTTTAGCGTGTGGTCCCTCAGCGGTCACAATTATTATCTGATTTAAAAAAACGTTTGAATATGTCACCCGTTACACCGTATTGTTGGTTGAGTTTGAATTTCATGAAAATCGGACCAAAAGTGTCCGACAAAATGGCCGCCCGTCTACGCAAATAATGTAAACATCTGGTATATCAAGGTTGTGGACCCTCTAGAGCTCACAATTTTGATCCGATTTTGCTGAAACTTGAAATGCATGGTTATAACCCAAAGATCTTGGTTGCTGTCTATATTTGCGCATATCAGATCGTAACTTCCTGAATTATGGCCCTTGATGTTACGAAAAATCGCTGTTTGTTTAGCTTGTTCTCTATCCATCTCTTGAAAAATGTGGGCTTATCCTGCCTGGCAGACGCTGGTTTATTTCAAATTTGCTTGGAAGCAATGGGGTCATAGTGGATAAACCCTAGAGATTATATTTCTTCAAGGTAGATCCTTATCAGATATACACAACTTCCAAGTTTTCCTTTCGGATAAGCTACAGTGGAGATAAGGCTGCTGTGTGGGCATATTCCACACTTAGCAACCTATCTTTTGTATCTGAGAAAAAAAACTGACAAGATGAAGATCATTGATACAACAAATCAGGACTGTTTACCAATCAAAGACACCTAGCCTATTTATGTACTTAACTAGAGATTGGATGTTTTCTTTCTTCATTCACATGTATTGACCTGCAAATATACTAGTCACAGATTCTATTGTCTTATCAAATTACATTAATTAATCAATTGTTGGTCTGGTTATTTTGGTAAAATTGATATCCAACAATTATCTTATAGTTTTTATCCTGTTAATCATTTCTGATAAAGATTTGAACTGAATAATTAGTGTTAGATATTTTATACTAATTACATTTCATCTGTTATTAGTATTATACCGTATTCTATTGAAAATCAAACTGTAATATTATTTTCACTTCATAAAACAGCATTTACACATATAATATTGAATTGTGATTAGCAAGAAAGATATAACACCCTAGCGGCTGGCAGCAAGATGTATATATTATCCCTGTTGTTTGTACACTGCAAATAAAGAATTCAGTTAGAGGAAATTTGTGACAAATGCCCTTAAAAATTATGGCAAGACTTTAGAATCTGTCCACTGCTCAGATTTACCATATTGCACATAAAGTGAACAGCCAGGTTATCTCATGTAATGTATAAAGTATTGCAAAAAAAAATTGGTGCAATGATTTGGTAAGGACTCCAAAATTATTTATGAACTGTATATTAAAGATACATTATGTAAGATGTAGATAAAGAACTGGTTGTTGTTACTATAATAATTCAAAAATAGATAATGTAAAATGAATATATTGAAAATTTCATCCAAATTATTTTATTCTGAGTGAAGATATTAGCATTTGAAGGTTTGACAAGATGTGTGCACTGATTGTAGCCATCCTACTGGTTGTTCAAGGCCTAACCATGCTTCACTAGTTTTAAATAAAATCATTAAATGGCCAAACCATTCTAATCTACTTAAAATCGGACCCATCCGATAGCATCGAGAGTTGATTATGGTCTTGTCATGTTAATAGATGTCTTATTAATCGTTTATATAGCATTTAAGACCTAAAGAAAGACATGAAATAGGAAGATGCCTGTTTAATTTAATCTCATTTTTATATATTCATTGTCTTGATGATTAAGATGGCATTTCATATTTAAATATAGACAATTTTTTCTGAGGATAACAATTGCTGTGGTTTTTTGTACCTGAAAGGACAAAAAACATCATAGAGCTATCTGCATGTGTGTGTTGCACATAATTTAATTGTTCTTGAAAATAGTGCTGTAATAAAGTTCTTTTAGCTGATGACTAAAACTGAACTGTTTCAGTTGATTATTTTCTTTTTTTTAAATGTGAGATGTCATTTCCTGGCTTTTAATTAAATGTGACATTATTACTATTGTTCAGACAGAAATTTCAATTATAACAGGATATTTTATAGGAAATAATGTCTGAATAATTTAACAGGAATGGTGCCACAAAATAAAGGCCAAATTGTCTGGAAGTAGAGAAGCATTCTATCAGACAAATTAATTTCCTATTCCTTCTGCTGACAAATCTGAGATTACAACTAATTACTGTGAATGCGTCACAGTAATACTTTTGTTGTCTTCCATTGCCATGAAAATAGCAGCAGAAATATTAAGCTGTCCTTGTTAGCTCAATCATGCTTTTGTTTTCTTTTCAGTCACACCATGAAGCAGATGGCCGATTCAAATCATCATGGCATCAATTTCTAAATTCTATCAACTGACGTGTGATTCATATTGGGATTGCTGAGTGAGTAATATTTCCTCTTACATTTCGTGTAATGAAGGAACTGTGGTCGAAAGAACGAGACATAAAGATTTGATACATAACGAAATATTTTATTCAAGTCTAACCCTGTGGAAAAGAATCAACATGCAAAAGGGTGGATTTCTCAAATCTATTACCTTCAATCGATTTATTTTGTTATTATGTGGAATTTATATTGGAATGGTGCTTTTTATACATAGTCGACTGCAAGCTGATCGCCCACCTCAGCAAATAGATAACGATTCAAAATCGGAATACCAATTGACAGAGAAATTGGATCTATCAGATTTAAAGACTTGGGTGAACAATAAAAAAGAATTAAATCAGCTGTCGAAAGATATTAGTGATTTAGAGAGGAAAGTATACCAAGCCAAAAAACAAGTGGATGGATTGAAAAAACAAAATGAGAACCCTAAGAGCTCAAACTGTTTACAGCATAGTAATGAAGGTGTTAAAAACAGTAGCTTTAAGATACTGGAACAAGGCGTCTATGTCTTCTCTGCATATCTCGATGACAGAAAACCAAATGTTTTTATACGTCTGATGGTACTTCTAGAAAAAACCAAAAAGAAAGTTCCAATATTTTGTCATATTAACTCAGTAATAATTATAGCCAAACAATATGAAATGTGTGAAAATCATAATAAACCATTTGGTGGATATATATATTCCTGTGAATTACCCAGAAATATGTCAAATCCTTGTCCCCTCCATGTGTCGACAGTTTATGCAAGTTCTGCATCATCTGAAGTTGCTCTTCCAATAATCCCAGTTAAACCTCTCTCTAAACCACAACAGTTTGGAATTTGTATATCGCCATTATTTGGTAGCGTGAAAAAAGAAAAGATTGTTGAATTCATAGAACTGTCACAAGTTCTAGGTGCTAACCATTTTTATTTCTATGATAATAACATATCAGCTGAAATGAAAATGACATTGAATTATTATGAGCAGAAGAACATTGTAACAGTAGTTCCATGGGACCTTCCGTCTGTTATATTTGATAATAAGATTTGGTATCATGGCCAGCTTATAGCCCACAATGATTGTTTATATCGCAGCATGAGTACGTTACAACATGTCTTATTCAATGATATAGATGAATTTGTCATACCCCATACCAGTGCTAAATATTGGAAGAATTTATTTCCTAGTGTGTTCAAAGATCAGTATTGTGGCATTGCCTTCTCTAGTGCTTTCTATGACCCAGCTATTGGTGTGACACATCCATCAGGCTTACAGACTATGAGTATCACAGGTCGCACCAAACTCTTTAGTCATGTTAGGACTAAAATCATGGTTAAACCACAGCGAGTGTTTGAAGTGGGAATTCATCACGTCAGTAAACAAAATGAAGAAAAATGGTCTGTTCAGAAATTTAAACCTGAAGTGGCGTACCTACATCATTATAGAAAGTGTATAGGAAATTATGGTATGAAATGTAGTCAGTTTGAGAAAGACACGACCATTTTTAGTTACTATGATGAACTTAAAGATCGGTTCGATTTTTCAATGAGAGAAATTAATAAATTTTCTAGTGCTCTTTCTCCAAATGTCACTCAAAAGGTTGTATAATGTTCTACAGTTAATTTATTGTTCACATTTTGTATTCTATATCATTTGATCTTTAATTGATAATGATGTTTTTAATTTCCTTAAGCAGTATTATACGCTGATGAGATGTTAATGATTTTTCATTTGTTAAACAGAATTTTAGTCGGAGGAACAAACTCATGGTTGTATATATGTACATCATCAATTTTTCTGAGAGGTATAACATTTGTACCATACAAGATCCTTAATATGATAACTCAGTTTTATGATTCATATCATGCCTATTCCAGGTATTGTTAACAATAACATAAAGTTACTGTAAGTAACTGCAGTAACTGGTTTTATTATAAATATCTTATGATAACTCACTTATTTTAAGATTTATGTGATGACTATTTTTAATATCTTGGAACAGAAAATTAACTGGTTTTACTATAGATATTTTATTTAATGGTTAGTGATATATATCAGAAAAGTTATCTCAATTTTTATGTTTTTGTTAAATCTTTATTTATGGATTGTGTTAAATTTGTTTTATCTAGTCATATTATGTAGTTGAAAAAAGTTATATACAAAAATAATTCAAGATAAATTTAGTCTTTAATGGTTTCATTGCATCTGAAATTCATGCATGTACTAAGGTACAAACCATTGTTAGTTGATTCCAAAAATATTATTTTATCTGCTTAAGAATTGGAAAATAGATAATATATTATTGTCTTACTTTTAAAACTTTCTTATAATATCTTACTTAAAGATAACTGAAAATATGGAGATTTTGAACAAGATTATTCCTTAGTACAGTGGTTTTCAGAAAAGATGCCATGAAGTCAAATAGCAGAACATCCAGGCTCCACAAAACCACTATGAAATAAATACAAGATAGTGGTTATTTCAAATGATAGAGAAGCTTTTGCTACCTTTGAGATCCCTGTCCGTAAAGGGAAATGACATCAAGGACATATTTTCTGAAAATGCTCGTCATATGCATGTATTATGTGGTAATCGAAACTGATTATAATTTATGTTAGCTGTATATTTATTATTTAATAGCTTTAAAAGGAAAAGTAAACATACTCTAGTTACTGTCTGGTTGTTAATCTTATACAGTTATAATGGGTTATTAACTCGGAATGAACCAATTGCTTTTAATGTACATTAATCTTTATATCCATCTAATGAAATAATGGTACCCACACTAAATTAGACTTTACTATTTTCAAAAATAATTAAAAGTTTTGCCTTCAGTGATTAAAATTTTGATTTTTAATATTGTTTAAAATTTTGATTTTTAATATTGATTAAAATTTTGATTTTTAATATTGATTAAAATTTTGATTTTTAATATTGATTAAAATTTTGATTTTTAATATTGATTAAAATTTTGATTTTTAATACAAAATTTTAATATTGATTAAAATTTTGATTTTTAATATTGATTAAAATTTTGAATTTAATATCAATTGATTTTTTAAAAAAGTAATAGAGATTAAAATTTTGAATTTGATATCGATTATGAATTTTATCATCGATTTGAATTTTATCATCGATTTGAATTTTGTATTTAATAATGATTTAAGTTTTGAATTTAATATCTATTTAAAGAGGCATTATTCAAGAGCTAAATCTGTCTAGTGCATGTCTTTCTTTATGTCTTAATGTTATATAAATTATTAATTAGATATTTATTAACTTTCCAAGACCATTATCAACTCTTGATGCTACTCTAGATTGTCAACAGATTCAAATACGATTGACAGTTAAAACTATATAAATGATTTAATTTAAAAATGGAGACTTTGTTTATTATCTTAACAACGGTAGCAATGACAATCGAGACTCGGCTCAGAATAAAGTGATTTGACTGAAATTTTCAACATGTTCCCTTTGCATTATTTATTTTTTAACTATTATAGCACGAATTGTCAGATCTATATCTAAATCTTACATAATGCCCCTTTAAGTTTTGAATTTAATATCGATTTAAATTTTGAATTTAATAATGATTAAAATTGTATTATTCATAGATATTACCAGGAACAATTTACTTTTCCTTTTAAACTAACTAGATCTTTAATTTGGGTAAAACATAAAAGTTGATTTAAATAATTAAATCTAATGTTTTCATCTGCTTTGTGAAGTAGATATCTGTCTACATTCAAAATGTTAGGTCCACGGATATATCAGTTTTTAAAAAAACCAAGAACAAAACAAAAATTAGTAAGCAAACTGATTTACATTAATACATTAAATACGAAATTGAAATTTCACTTAATTTGACATTTAATTTAACCCAAATCATAGAGATTTAGCTCCTTTAATTTATTTGGGTGCAGTTATTAATTATAGCAAATGTCAATATACCAGGTACATATACATTAATTATACGTCTGTGTCTCATATATATATATATATCAGCTTAATTATATATCTGTTATCTCGACTTGTGATCAAATGACCATAACCTCTTGTCTCAACATTCCATTATATTTTTATTGGTTTTATTTCATTTAGTTATTTATTTTAACCAGATCATTCCACATATAGACATGTCAACATTCCTCTATATTATTATTAGCCTTGTTGGTGATTTCATTTTTATTTTGAGAAAGTTATAATAAGCCATATTTTTTTATATTTATGAACTATGAAAGTAGTGTAAGAATTTCTACGCAAGCTTAGATTAAGATGATACATTATATTTCATGTAATGTGGTGGTATATGTTGTCATTATAAAGCTCGATCTTGATTGCACTTGTTGCAAGGCTCTTGCTATTATGCTATTTTTGTTAAATCTTGATTGCATAAGCCCCTGCCTCTTAATAGTATTTAAATATATGTAAGCTTTCCCATCTTTCAAATAATAAGGTATAAAGTGTACTAAAACATGGCAAGCAGCAAAGTTGGGTTCCTCCTTATGGCTAGCCTAACAAGTTCAGTAAAATAGAAGAGAACTAAATCTTCAAAACTGGCCTATCTAGTCTATATGGACAGGAAGAGGTGACTGAGTGGTCTAAGATCATAATTTCTCTAAGAAATCTGAATGGTATCACCATGCTAGATGTACTTAAGCAAAGTGGGGAAACCCCCCACACAAAACAAACCTTGCTTGCTAAACTATTCATCAAAATGATTGCTTGGTACAGCAATGCAAGAAGTGTTGATTTATCAAAGAAAACACTGTAAGGAGTATGGCAAGGGCTAAGTTACCTCTATGCATTGTACAATTACTTTTTATTACATGCAGAGTAACTTGATATGTTTTGCCTTTCTAATTCAAATATTTTTTTATGCACTTGCATATTTAGTTAAAAAATCTTTATCTGGATGTACAGTTTGACAAGATGGATGCCTTAATATTTGTAAAAAAAATTCCATTGTGACTCCAATTGCAAAGCTGATAGATACCAGCAGCCTATTTTTATAAGCCCACATTGAAAGGTGGTTGTATAATTTCGTCAGTTTATCTTTCAGTCGGTCCGGTCTAAGGGCTAAAGTTAATATCTGATTGACTTTAAATTTATACACAGTGTTTAAGGTCATGAGACAAAGAAACCTATTGATTTTCAACGATTTCCACTAATTACTGCAAGAATTAATGCCTGGGTTATGGCCCTTGGGCTCTTTGATAAATCTTGTGGATCTCTACAGACAAAGTTATCATCCAATTGACTTTAAATTTATACACAGTGTTTATAATGAGATGAAGAAGCCGGTATCTGATAATTATTGCCAGAGTTTTAGAGCATGACCTCTTTGAATATTCTTATTCACACTTTACAGACCAAAGTTATCATCCGATGGACTTTAAATTTATACATAGTGTTTAAGGTCCTGAGATGATGAACCTTATTGATTTTTTTTAAACAATTTCTGATAATTATTGCTTAAGTTATGGCCCTTGATGACTTTGAAAAATGTTGTGGATGCTCTCAAGACCAAACTTTTAATCCAATTTACTTTAAATATACTCAGCCAAATTAAAAACTTGACACTCAGGATTTTTGGGGCTAGATTTTTAATATTTGGTTTAAGGCAACTATTTTAGTGTTATGTTGTGCACAGACGACCTTGACATCAACAGAAAGCAAGAATACGTCTCGCCGAAAGTCCTTGACATTGATAACGTTCGTGATGTCACGGTACCCCCCAAAATGAAATTCACAGACAATCGGAATAAAGTGTTTAGTAACGGTTGTGGCCTTCTCTAGCGTCTCGTACTGCCACACAACGTCTTCTCATGGATCTCAGAACATTAGTAAACACTACCCGAGGAAGACGTCGCCACTGCTCAGCAAGAGCATGTTGAAGGTCCTGCAACGTCAGTGGTGGATTCTCTTGCTGACGAACACGTCGACCCAGTTCGTCCCAGATGTGTTCAATAGGATTAAGGTCGGGACTAAGCGACGGCCAATCCAAGACTTGGACACCGGCATTTCTTAAAAAATTCTGGGTAGCAATTGCTGTATGGGGTCGAGCATTGTCTTGTTGAAACGTTAGTCCAGGCCCATGTCTCTGCATAAACGGAAGAAGAACAGGTTGCAAAATCTGATCCCTGTACTGGACAGCATTTAAGTTCCCTTGGACAACAAGAGGAGAACGTCCATGTGCACAAAAAGAACCCCAAACCATGACGCTGCCGCCACTTGAGCGTAACGTTTACCTCGTCTGTGGTACACTCGGACCCTGCCATCGGCAAATCTCAAAGTGAATCGAGATTCGTCACTAAAGACAACCGAATTCCACTGTCTTTGAGTAAATCCTATGTGTCTTGTGGCCCACACAAGTTGGTTACGGCGATGAAGAGGTGTCAATATTGGTCCATTATAGGGCCTCCGAGCTCGATGACCAGCAGCCTGCAAGCGATTTCTAACAGTTTGTGCAGTTACCCTTCCATCAAACATCTCTCTACTTGTGGAGGTTGCAGTGACAAATCTGTTTCTAAGATGACGTATTGCTTGATCTTCCTGGAGTGACGTCACACGTGGCGCTCCCGCCCTTGGGAGGTCGGCAATAGTTCCAGTTTGAAGCACTCTCATTCTCAGATTAATTATTGTCTGGCGTGAACAATTAAAGGCTCTTGCAACAGTGACCACAGACTGACCAGCATAGAGCCTACATAGAGCCTACATATAGCATGTAGACGTTCTACGTTTGAAAGGCGCTGCATTTTCTAACAAAGATGAAAATAACAATTTTAATTTGTTTTTCCAGTTTAAGTTACGTGTGCGTGTTCAGTTTAAGCAAACTTGCATCGATTGACCTCACGAGTTTGTGTTTGCACATGTTTTTCAGGTTTTTCATCTTTATATGCTCAAAAGCCACGTGATCCACGTGACTTTACAATTTTATGAAATTAAAGGCTTCTTACTACTTACTATCGTTAGCAACAC